ACAATGTGACATCATTATGTTGAAAGAAGTCTATTGTGACTCTTGCAACATGTGGTCGGGCATTATCTTGTTGGAAAGTTGGATCTGTCAAGGTGTCAAGATAGGGTAAAAGATGGGGTTCTAGAACTTCGTGGATATAACGCTGCGCGTTCAGGTTACCTCTGATGAAGGTTAAAGGTGACCTGGAACCATAAGCTATAGCACCCCAAACCATAACTCCAACAGTGTGATAAACATGTCTTTCAACAAAAAACTGTGGATTCCTCCTTTCACCACGTCGCCTTGTGACCCTGGCACGACCATCGTGCATGCCTAACAAATCGAGACTCGTCACTAAAGACAATACTGTTCCATCCTGATCCCAGAGTGGCCGTTGTCTGCACCACTCAAGGCGATTACGTCGGTGTTCTCGAGTTAAGGGAGGCCCCAGTGTGGCCGGTATGAAAACAAGCAAAGCTTCTCATTCGTCGGTAAACACTTCGGATGCCAAAGGTCTCGTGTTCTGCAAACCATTCATTTGCAATGGACCTGGTAGTGGAGAAACGGTCCCTTAAGGCCAATAATCTTAGGCGGCGATCTTCACGGTCTGTTGTTCTACGGCGGCGTCCAGTGCCCCTTGCTCTTTGCGTACGGCCTTCTCGAAGCCATGCCCGACAACACCTAACCACAGTGTCTACACTTCTTTGCACTCTAACTGCAATTGCCCGAAAAGAAAGTCCAGCTTCCCGAAGTCCCACTAGACGGCCCCTATCAAACCCACTAAGTTGACGGAATCGTACAGGTCTCCGTACTCTAGGCATCGTAACCGATCGTAAAGGATGTCAAGAACCAAATCCGCCAACGTTGATTCTTTACTGCGGCTGAAATATTCATTTTTAGAGCGTTAGTGAATTAAAAAAAAGCAGTATAAAAACCGGAATGTCCAACTGATAAGGCTGAAAATTTTTTCACTTGTTATTTACAGTAAGATAAATACATTCACCAACTTTTATTAAAATAAAAACCATTTAAACTGGGTGTTCGGATTTATATGTCACTTAGTATATTATAAATTGTATGTGGCCAGGGTTAAGATATTTCAAAATCAAAAATATTTAGACAAAAAATGGATGACTGCTGAAATAAGAGAAATGATGCAGGAAAGAGGTTTTTTATATAAAAGAGCTGTATGAATGGAGGTGAAAATATTTTACAAAAATACAAAACGAAAAGAAATAGTATTGCATATAAAATAAGAACGGAGAAAGAGAAATTTTATGCAGAAGCAATAGACTTAAATAAAAGTACCCCAAAATAACTGTGGAAAAATCTTAAAACTCTCTTACCTGAAAAAAAACATGTATTGCCAGATGAAATCAGGTTCGAAACAGAAATAATCAAGCAAGAGGTGGACATAGCTAATAGATTTAATAAATATTTTATGTATAGCATTGATAGTATAATAAGGGATATACCACGTCCACAAAATGTTATGCCCTTTATTATTAGAGTACATAGTGGAGTATTTAATAACTTTGAAAAATTAACAAAGGTAAACATGAAGAAACTAGTTAAAAACCTTAAGGGGTGAAGGTGGAATTTTAAATCAAGTCCTTTGTGACGTAGTGTATGCAGTTGGTAATCGTCTTTTATTTTTATTAACACCTCACTTAGCAATGGTGATTTTCTGGTCCTTGGAAATTAACAACTGTCATTAATGTTCCTAAGGTAAATAACACAATGTATCATTATATCATTATATCATGAATTTCGTCCAATAAATACAGTGCCCATATATGAGAAGGATTTAGAAGTTGTAGTTAAAGAGCAAGTGCTACATTTTTGTGACACTATACTAAGTGACACATAAATCCGAACACCCAGTTTAAATGGTTTTATTTTAATAAAATTTTGTATAAGTACTTAATGAAGCATAGTAAGTAAATGATAAAAATTTCAAAATGATTGCACTGCTTTAAAGCCCTTTGACCTTTAATAATGTGTGGATGCACCCTGATGTGCTACGCATTCTCCAACGCACCTAGGCATGCTTCTGATCAGGTGGTCAATGTCCTCCTGTGGTACCTCATTCCACGCAACCACCAACTCCTCTCGAAGTGCTTCTAGAGTCTGAGGAGGACGTTACAAATTGAGCAATCTCCTACCCATCATATCCCACACGTGCTCAATTGGGGATAAGTCGGGAGATCTTGGTGGCCATGGTAACAATGTGACATCATTATGTTGAAAGAAGTCTAATTTGACTCTTGCAACATGTGGTCGGGCATTATCTTGTTGGAAAGTTGGATCTGCCAGGGTGTCAAGATAGGGTAAAAGATGGGGTTCTAGAACTTCGTGGATATACCGCTGCGCGTTCATGTTATCTCTGATGAAGATTAAAGGTGACCTGGAACCATATTTCCCCAAACCATAACTCCAACAGTGTGATGGACATGTCTTTCAACAACAAACTGTGGATTCCTCCTTTCACCACGTCGCCTTCTAACCCTGGCTCGACCATCGTGCATGCATAAACAAAATCGAGACTCGTCACTAAAGACAATACTGTTCCATTCCTGATCCCAGAGTGACCTTTGTCTGCACCAATCAAGGCGATTACGTTGGTGTTCTCGAGTTAAAGGGAGGACCCAGTGTGGCCGGTATGAAAACAAGCCAAAACTTCTCATTCGTCGGTAAACACTTCGCATGCCAATAGGTCTTCCGTGTTCTGCAAACCATTCATTTGCAATGGACCTGGTAGTGGAGAAACGGTCCCTTAAGGCCAATAATCTTAGGCGGCGATCTTCACGGTCTGTTGTTCTACGGCGGCGTCCAGTGCCCTTGCTCTTTGCCATGCCTGACATCACCTAACCACAGTGTCTACACTTCTTTGCACTCTAACTGCAATTGCCCGAAAAGAAAGTCCAGCTTCCCGAAGTCCCACTATACGGCCCCTATCAAACTCACTAAGTTGACGAAATCGTACAGGTCTCCGTACTCTAGGCATCGTAACCGATCGTAAAGGATGTCAAGAACCAAAATCCGCCAACGTTGATTCTTTACTGCGGCTGAAATACTCATTTTTAGAGCGTTAGTGAATTAAAAAAAGCAGTATAAAAACCGGAATGTCCAACTGATAAGGCTGAAAATTTTTTCACTTGTTATTTACAGTAAGATAAATACATTCACCAACTTTTATTAAAATAAAACCATTTAAACTGGGTGTTCGGATTTATATGTCACTTAGTATAATAAGATTATTGTTCCTAACCAATCAGGATTTAGAGAGAATCATTCTTGTGAGTCTGTTTTTGTTGGTATTTGTGATGATTTTCTTAGGGCCGTCGACTGCGATAGCTATGTCTTAGCCATTTTTGTAGATTTTAGGAGAGTTTTTGAAACATGTGATAGGGATATTTTATTAAGTAAATTAGAGCAAATAGGAATCAAGCACATTGTCTTAAAGTGGTTTAATGTCGGGTTCATGCACGAATTAACGTAACCGAATTTAAGGATCAGCTGTTTCTACACCAGTGTCCTCCACATTTTACGCCGCCAGAGGGTAACTAGCTAGTGATTTCCAGTGGTGGTCAAACGTTTTGGTGACGTCACACCCATTTTTTGACATGATTCGGGTGGTTTCGGAACTCGTCTTACCCTTGGATAGCCTTTCCATACTGTTCTATGCTCGTATTGACGTAATTATAATAATTCTGTGGTGTCTCCTGTTCCACGACGATTTACCGAGAAAGCCAGGCCGTGACTCATCTGTTGTTTTTGTTTGAGTTCTTGGCGAATTTACGGTAGAAATTTGTTTTGGTGTTCGTCTTCGGGTGTGTTTTTCTGCCTTGGACTTGTTTTTTGTGCGATTAATTGAGGATGGCCATGCCTAGAGCAAAAAAACGAAAAGCCGCGCTGGTATCAACTCCCGACCTTGTTGAAGAGGTACCTGCAGAAGGCACCTGAACGCGATCGGACATCGCCAGAGGAGCGCCTAATGATGACGTTGCAGTAAGTATCCAAATCAGTTCATTTTTGCATAAATGACTATGTATATTGAGGTTATGGTCGTTTTCTTATTTCAAGGTCACTTCTTAAAATAAAGTTCAATATATTGAACTTTATCTTAAGAACCAACCAATCGGATCACTAGCGTTGGTCAGCTGATCGCTACAGCTGGAATTAGAAGATGAGTACGAGCCATCGATACTGTACAAAAGTAGATAGTCGATATTTATATCGTGATGTTTGATCGATTTTATATCGCTGTATGGGCAGATGGTTCGGTGATAGTTGTATGAAAAATTATTTGCGCTTGCTTACGCATGACAGTTTAAAGCTGAAGATCGGGGCGGATTGATAAAAAAAATCAGAGATGTATGTTAAAAATTATAATAAGTCAGTGGTCATGTTTACTTCATCCCCTAACAAAGTGCGTATAGTGGTAGTTTCAGCAAAACATAAAAAACAGCATGAAAAAAATAAACATGGGTCCTAAATTGCCCCTTACCAAGATAGAGGATTTTGAAATTATATTCTAGAGAACGAAAAAAAAAGAATGGAAATGATCTTAAAATGTTGTGCTTGTAGTACTGACTTCATAGCTGATAGATGTAAACGCTTTCATGTCTGAGACTGTACCAATGGTGATGTCGGCAAATTATAGCTCCTACAGAAGAAAAAAGAGAATTTAAATCTATACCATGCCCCCCATGACATGTTTTTCCAAAACCTTACAGAACACTGTGAAGGTACTTTGTCATTAACTACAAACCAGGTGTACACCTGGCGAATTCTGTGTATTCGCAGCACACCAAATATGCAATCTCTTTTGTTTGAGGTAAACAGATGAGTAGCACGTAACTTTTTTTGTGACATCTGTACTGTTGGAAATAACAAATCTGGTAAAGGGCCAAATTAAGGACTGGCGTTTGGTATCACCAATGAAAATTTGTTTACACACAGAATTTTGGCAATCAAATGTATACGGCTAGATTGGGAATTTATACATATGTACAGAGCAGTATCATCTGAAGGGGCGTGGTGAGATGACTATGTTTCTGTTTGCTGACTAAATATGACAGTGATATTATGCTAATAATTTTTTTTTTGTTTCACAGTGTCAACATCCTTCGAGGAGACAGTTGGAATGAAGATCGTCATTTATTTTATGGATACGAAATTAACTGTCAATGACATAAGGAGTTTGTTTCCTAGTTTGAAGAAACAATTAGTGTTTTATGTGTTTTTTTTTTTGTTGAGGACAATTTTGTTTGCCTGTACCCATTAACAGTGTGTGCAAAACTATTTTTGATTCACATATCAGAGTGATTATATTTGTATTCCAGTCAGTCCCCTAACTACAGATGTATTTTTTGTTATTTTAGTATTTATGTTTTCGCAATAAATATACATGATCAATTAACAAGATATAGTGCTTGAATGATATTGCACTGATCAGGTTCATAATATAGCGAAAAATCCAGATGAGTAGAATACTTCTATGTATGTACATTTCATTGTAATGAAGAATTTGTTCTATTATTGCTGGGACTGTTCAATAAATATTTTTTTAATTATACATTTTTTTATTATCCTGAAATTCATTACTACTCATACTGATGAAAGAAATACTCCCTTTATTGAGGTTGTGTTATGCATCTATGATCATCGAACTGCCTCAATATCGGGAAGGTCATCAGTCAGATTTCGTAATGTAAACAAATGAAATCGCCGACACATTCCTGACATTCCTGATATGCGTTGTCGGCATACTTTCAATATTTTTAGTTCCACCAGATTTCCAGCCAAGAAAGGTAGCGCTGCCGTCGTTATAGTCCAAGAAATTTCTTCACATCTGCTCAGGAAAATATTCGGATTCGGACTTTTTGCATGTTATTCGAAAAAGCCTCCTAGTAACAGGTCTACATGTTGTCAGGCTGCAAATTGCGTCTCTAATTGTTTGAACAACTTTTTCAAATAAATTACAAAAATTAATGTTTTCGCTTCATCAAAGGTAGCATTCGTTTTTTTTGATACTCCGAAACAAAACGATGTTTGACAATGTTTGTCAAAAGTTGATTTTGTACGAGATGGGAAAGTACAAAAAATTGATTTTGCGATACCGAAAAACGATCTGAAAAAACGAAAATGTTAATGTCGCCATGCTTCATAAATAACCATTAACACAATTGCGATACCTTTTAGGAGATACTGTTATTATAAATCTTTGTATTTAATTGATATGCAAGCGGACGCTCAATGCACATTCAGCGTGCACGAGAGATATTTCATCTCTCTCTCGCGTTCACATAGACATAGACTATACATTGAGGGCGCATTCAATTCATAATTACTATGCAAATATTTATAATAACTGTACTCCCTAACATCAAAATGTTCATTTTTCATATTGTTTTTAGGGTAGCAAATGACATATTTTGAGTTGTTACATTGCTTATACCTGTATATATCAAGTCTAGAGAAAAGTTCTAAAGCTCATTTTTTATTCACAATGTCCTAAAAAACCGCAAAATACTTTAAACAAAGCGAACAAATCAATTTTTGGAATCGGTTTAATAACAATTTTTGGAGCAATTTTGGGCCTAGTCACATGCAGATTCTTTAAGACGTCCTTGAATCAGATTATGCAAAAATAGGAATCGGAAGAGTTTTCCGAGCAGATGTTCCGATATTATCTGGACTATTATCCGAGTTCTGTGACTAATAAGCGTGTGGAGAGGGGCCACTTGTCAATGTCAAAGCTGGTCCGCCAGTCCACGTGACACAAAAGCCACAAAACACTCTTTCATCTGCTACCTTGACGTGAAACATATGATCTTGTTAGTGTGTTTAATGTTGATATTGTCGCCATTGCTACATTGGCAATCCTGGCCGCGCATGCGCTTTAAATGCTCATTTTCTTAAGTTAAGTTACGTTAAGTCTTGCATGAACCCACCATAAGTCACATTTGGATAATAGAGTTTAACGTGAGTTTAACGTGTATCTCATAAGAATTGTCTGTCCGAGCCTGTGAATGTTAAATATGGTGCACCACAAGGAACTGTTTTGGGGCCGTTGTTATTTTTGATTTATATCAATGATATGGTTGGAGTAAAAATAAAGTGTAAAAGTATTCTTTTTGCTGACGAAACACTGGTTTATATCAACCGGTGTGAAGTTGGCAGACAAAATTTAGCGGACAATTTGCCGAAGATACCCGAATGACCAGTGGCGTCGACATCCTCGACCAGACTGTGATTGTGAAGGATACAGCTAACAGCTCGCAACAATAAATATATATGCACAAGAATAAGCACCCCTATAGGAAGAATCATTTTCCACCCTAATTAAATAATTGGCAGGAACAAGAGTTAACCCAAAACGTTTCTTCGAATTTTCACTTACCGATTACTGTATTGAAAGTAATTATTGAGCTAAATAGCATATACTGAGAAAATCTCTAAAGGGGATTTATATCTCAAAAAAATACTCTATTACAGAGACAATTCATGGGCTAGGTGGCATGGTGTGAGAAATCTTCTGAAAGTGATTTTGGGGAATCATTTCCTTGGGGGTGAAAATGAATTTTTTTAGCATATTTTTTATCTACCAGCCTTTCAGAAGCTTTCTCACACCATGCGACCCAACCCATAAATTGTCTCTATAATAGAGTATTTTTTTGAGGTACAACTGATTTTGGGGAATCATTTCCTTGGGGGTGAAAATGAATTTTTTAGCATATTTTTTATCTGCCAGCCTTTCAGAAGCTTTCTCACACCATGCCACCTAGCCTATAAATAGTCTCTATAATAGAGTATTTTTTTGAGGTACAAGTGATTTTGGGGAATTATTTCCTTGGGGGTGAAAATGAATTTTTTAGCATATTTATTTATCTGCCAGCCTTTCAGAAGCTTTCTCACACCATGCTGCCCAGCCTATAAATTGTCTCTATAATGGAGTATTTTTTTGAGGTACAAGTGATTTTGGGAATCTTTCATTGGGGATGAAAATGAATTTTTTTAGCATTTTTTTTATCTGCAGCCTTTCAGAAGCTTTCTCACACCATGCCACCTAGCCTATAAATTGTCTCTATAATAGAGTCTTTTTTTGAGGTACAAGTGATTTTGGGGAATCATTTCCTTGGGGGTGAAAATGAATTTTTTAGCATATTTTTTTAACTGCCAGCCTTTCAGAAGATTTCTCACACCATGCTGCCCAGCCTACAAATTGTCTCTATAATGTAGTATTTTTTTGAGGTACAAGTGATTTTGGGAATCATTTCCTTGGGGGTGAAAATGATTTTTTTAGCATATTTTTTATCTGCCAGCCTTTCAGAAGCTTTCTCGCACCAGGCAACCCAGCCTATAAATTGTCTCTATAATGGAGTATTTTTTTGAGGTACAAGTGATTTTGGGGAATCATTTCCTTGGGGGTGAAAATGAATTTTTTAACATATTTTTTATCTGCCAGCCTTTCAGAAGCTTTCTCACACCATGCCACCTAGCCTATAAATAGTCTCTATGATAGAGTATTTTTTTGTGGTACAACTGATTTTGGGGAATCATTTCCTTGGGGGTGAAAATGAATTTTTCAGCATATTTTTTTATCTGCCAGCCTTTCAGAAGCTTTCTCACATCATGCCACCTAGCCTATAAATTGTCTCTATAATGGAGTATTTTTTTGAGGTACAAGTGAATGTGGGGAATCATTTCCTTGGGGGTGAAAATGAATTTTTTAACATATTTTTTATCTGCCAGCCTTTCGGAAGCTTTCTCACACCATGCCACCTAGCCTATAAATTGTCTCTATAATAGAGTCTTTTTTTGAGGTACAAGTGATTTTGGAGAATCATTTCCTTGGGGGTGAAAATGATTTTTTTAGCATATTTTTTTATCTGCCAGCCTTTCAGAAGGTTTCTCACACCATGCTGCCCAGCCTATAAATTGTCTCTATAATGGAGTATTTTTTTGAGGTACAAGTGATTTTGGGAATCATTTCCTTGGGTGTGAAAATGAATTTTTTAGCATATTTTTTATCTGCCAGCCTTTCAGAAGCTTTCTCGCACCAGGCGACCCAGCCTATAAATTGTCTCTATAATGGAGTATTTTTTTGAGGTACAAGTGATTTTGGGGAATCATTTCCTTGGGGGTGAAAATTAATTTTTTAACATATTTTTTATCTGCCAGCCTTTCAGAAGCTTTCTCACACCATGCCACCTAGCCTATAAATAGTCTCTATGATAGAGTATTTTTTTGTGGTACAACTGATTTTGGGGAATCATTTCCTTGGGGGTGAAAATGAATTTTTCAGCATATTTTTTTATCTGCCAGCCATTCAGAAGCTTTCTCACATCATGCCACCTAGCCTATAAATTGTCTCTATAATGGAGTATTTTTTTGAGGTACAAGTGAATGTGGGGAATCATTTCCTTGGGGGTGAAAATGAATTTTTTAACATATTTTTTATCTGCCAGCCTTTCAGAAGCATTCTCGCACCATGCCACCTAGCCCATGTATTTTTTTGAGATATAAATCATTTTGGGGAATCATTTTTTTTGGGGGTGAAAATGAAGTTTTATTTATATTTTTCATCTAGCACCCCTTTAGAGATTTTCTCAGTATATGCTATTTAGCTCATTAATTACTTTCAATACAGTAATCGGTAAGTGAAAATTCGACGAAACGTTTTGGGTTAACTCTTGTTCCTGCCAATTATTTAATTAGGGTGGAAAATGATTCCTCCTATAGGGGTGCTTATTCTCGTGCATATATATTTATTGTTGCGAGCTGTTGGCTGTATCCTTCACAATCACAGTCTGGTCGAGGATGTCGACGCCACTGGTCATTCGGGTATCTTCGGCAAATTGTCCGCTAAATTTTGTCTGCCAACTTCACACTGATTTTATATCATAGGTAAAAACGTACAACAAATGCAGAAAGATTTAAATGATGATTTAGAACCAATTTTTATTGGCAGTGTTTTAACAAACTGTTTGAATACCGCTAATCGAAATTTTGCATATTTAGTAAGAAATCTAAACTTAGATTAGTAGAAATCCAAAATGTACACATTGCTGTGAATGAGGAAAATATTGTTTACACTTAGGCACCATATTGGATTGTAGTTTAAACTTTCAAGCTCGTGCTGATCGTGCTGATTATGCGAAAATTATCAAAAAAAGTAGGTTTTATAATTCGGGTGGGTAAAAGTTTAACCATGCATACAAAATTACAACTTTATAAAATTATTGCTCTCCCACATTTACAGTTTTGTTCCACTTTGTTGTAGGATCTGCTACAGTATAAAATAAATCAAATGGAGACAATACAAATCAGCTATAAAATGTAACTGGTTTACGCGATTGAATGTTTGCTGAGTATTCTAAATATGTTGTGTGTGAAAGAAAGGGTTATGTTTAATGTGTATGTGTATATGTGTATAGTTAAACATAATTTGTTACCTAACTACTTATGTGATAGATTGAAGGTCTTACATGGTTATCATACGAGAAATCATACAGATTTTATTTTGATAGAATGGAACAATTCGACCCAAATGCTAAACTCAGTTTTATATAAAGGATTATCTGAATTTAAAAGTTTAAAGTTACCTATGATAATAAAAAACTGTGATAACCTAATTTGGTTCAAGCGGATCCTAAGATAATTTGTTTTAGATAAGTGTTGGTAATTAGTTGTATTTTGTTTATTTTAGTTTTGTACATTTTATCCTGATTTTACCTACATTATTTATACCATTTTATGTATACCAGTTTTGTTTTCTTTTTACATTTTACTACGTTAAGTTTTATCTCTGTCTAATTTTCAATCTACTTTTTTTCTGTACTCCTTGTATTTGTATTCGTATTATTATTTTTCAAATTAAGTTTTGTAGATTTAGTGTTGATTCTTTTTTTTGTGAACTGCAAGTATTACACTTTTTTATTCATCTTTTCATATGAAAACACATTGTTTTTTTTATCTATTTCTATTATTGTAATAATTCAAACTTGTACTTATATGTAGATCTTACGCTAAATAAGTGCTTTATACTATATTATTGTAATCCCAGAAAGGAATTACAGCGGCCATATTATGAAAAACCATTTTTCCAATACGGCGGCATGAGCAGAAGGGCGGCGAAGTGAAAATTATAAGGCATTTCAAAACTTCTCTATACGTTCCTGATAAAACTACCAAGCAATTGTTCTATTTGCTTCAAACAGCAAAAAGAAATAATTTGCTTGGATTCGTATTTGACATTCATGAAGTTAACTAAGGGAGCCTACTATAGTATCGTTTTAGAAGTAAACAATTTTTCTTACCATAGTTATATGAATCGATTATCATCTGCAGCATACTCAGTGATCCACCAGTGAAATCTAGAAATATATTTCCTATACTCCATCCAACTGTGCTCCTTCGTCGATAATTCATGTAGGCCTGAAAATAAGTAAAAAAAACCTCAATTCTCATTTTCATATGTAAACACTTTCTTGTTTTTCACGAGTTTGCTGTTTAATATTCCATGAGATTACTTAATAATCTTCAATATATAGAGTGTCCAAAAAGTCACGGATCATAAAAAAAAAGATTCATAGGGGAGGGTCATTCCCAATCAGAAAAGCCATGATTGTCACAGTTTTTGAGAGATCGTCATTTTGAAGAATTTGTAGAAAGTCGCTGGTTTTGAGGATGTAATATTTTTGTCTAAAATTATTTTTTTGTTATTTCTTATTCAACTCTACAAGATATATTCTCGAATAATGTATGAATTAGGGTCGTATCGTCAGTCGTTCCTACAATTGTGCAAGCATATGAAATATCTCAAATACATTTTGCATGCGAGCACACAAAATCTTTCCAGAAGCTTCACCAGCCTGGTTAGTGTCACTCAGCACGACGCCCCTTAAGCCTCTTTATGTTATACATTCCATTCGTGCTCTGGGCACTTGTTCCCAGTATATACTTTCGTAAAAACGCAGGCGGGTCTCGCATCTCAGATCAAATAGTGCGCGGAACTGAAGCTAATTACAGTGTCGCTGTGCTATTGGGTGTAGCGTTTTGGTTACCTGAAAAGTGAGCCATCACTGAGTATTTCCTTTGTTCTACAGTAATGCATGGATTTTTAATCATATTACTTTTATATTCATGATCATGAATGTCTTAAGCCATGTTTATAAAGATGCTCTGCTTTTACCTTCATATTTTACTTTATTGCTTACGACTTTACCTTTTATTTTTATTGAATATCCACAGGTGGGACGCCTCCAGGTTCTAGTAGTTGTTATGGGACTTTCGGAGCCCAATTGCTCGGTTCAGATAGTTATGTTACTTACTGCTCGGTTTCCTCTGACAGGGGAAATGTCGGAGCGCTTGGGATGTTCACACGGTGGCCTTTGGCCGAATTGTCGTCTTAGGTGTGAATTACCGCTTAATTAACTTCTCTCAATGATAGTCATCTTGCTCGGTTGTCTCTGATTCAGGTGTAACGTCGTAGCTTTGGAATATGGACACGGCAACATGATATCCTGGATCCTGCGATGCTTTTCGTAACAATCGTTAAACTCGGGATGTCTGCCCGGACACCTACTGACCAAAGAGTCAGTCTGTGTGACGACTCATAGTCTGACCGTGTCACGACTCCTAGCCCGTCTGTTACGTCTTAATGATCAGTCTGTGTGACGATCCAAGAATCAATCTGTGTGACGAATCCTTACTAGTAGTTGCAGTATACTAATGTAATGGTATGCATGTCATGTCATGAGTCGGTTGAATATCATTTTTCTAAAAATAGGTGTTGACCCCAACAATTCGGTCATACGGCCTTATCGCTTGCTAAAGGAGGATAACTCGTTGTCCTTCCGTTACAAGTAAGTGGCATTTAGATTGTCCGGACATTGTCGCCCATATCGAATCATTTACGTGCCTTTTGTAATAAAAGGAAAATGGTACAGGGTGGTACTCCTAAGGCGGGTTTGTTGTTTTCAAGTTTACCGTTATATTGTATTATTATTATCATCTCTCTTCGTATCCAATAATAATTGTAGGATGCCTTTATGGCCTGCTTGATTTTCATAGTTTTCCTGTGTTCCATGTCAGCGCTCTATTTTGAGGTTATATTACAGAAATTTATTTACATCAAATTGTTCATGCTTTTGATTTGTATCATCTGCCATATCAGCCTGAAGATGAGAATACTGGACAGATAAAGTATCCATATTGTATCGCCATAGTAACCAGACAATGAACACCCACGTAATATCGAGGCATTAGTTGCAAGTGTAATAAATTAGTGTGAAAGTAATAGATTAAGACTTTAAATAGTAGTAAAAAGGTGTTTTCGTTAAAATAGTAAGAAAAAGTTTAGGTATGTTATGGGGTTACAAAATACCTTAAAGATAATAAAATATCCTAATTAGTTCCTGGACAAGATAGACGAAATACTTCAGGAACCCTCAATCTCGGAAATTTTCATTATGGCTAGTTTTCTGGAAGAAGTACCTACAGATTTTGAATGTAGAATGGGTGCAACAATTCTCTGCGTTGTACTTTGGTACTACCTACACCAATATTCCGTAAAATCCGGCGCACACTACCTGAGAACTCATTTCCAATTACTCGTAATACTCTATCTTCAGCACCTACGTCGAGTCTCGGCCTTCCTGTTCTTACTGTAAGTCCCCTAACACAAAGGGTGTATAGGGTGTCTCGATATAAATTGATAACCCTTTCAACTTTTTTGTTTACCGTTCAAGAAAAAACGTTTAATACAAAAGTTGTGGGATCCAATGTAAACTTTCCCATGTAATATCAATCTCAGATACGCTCACCTCACTTCAGTTTATTGCACGTTCCTTTTAACGAAACTAAAATGGAAAACTGTTTAGACCGGGGCGAAAGGTTAAATGGACTGGAATGGACATAGAAAAAAGTACCATACACCTCGTGCCAGATGGTGCTATCAGCAGTTGGATACACTTTCAATTTCATGTTCTATGCATTTTCTAGTGTTCCGTGTGATATAGCCTCAACACGTTGAGACTTCAATACTCCAAAGCTGCTTCGAGTTTCAAAAATTTCAAACTTTGACTTCTTCGATGATGCGATACAAGTAAGTACATGTATGTACGTAGTTATGGGGCTACTCAGCGAGTCAGGCAATCGCGAACAACAATTTGGCAGTTGAATTCAGCATTATGTTTGTGAAAGAGATTTTTATGCCGGATGAGGTAGACTTATTGAATAGTCCTTCCGTCTTGCCACTGAATCTTTTATTTGTATTTTATATATAACCTGTTTCTTCAAAACACAAAATACGGTTTTTATAAGCATCTAAAACACATTATTTTCTTGTTTAGGTCTGTTGACTTCAACATGAATTTCAATTCTGCTACAGATGATCAGCATGTCATGGTTTTATTATGTTGATGGAAACATATACGAAGACACACAAAGCATCCAAAACTGTCATATTATAATCAATCAATATTACCTGGAACGGTAACATAACCAATGCATTATCTAAGCTTACGAGGTTTGATCAAAAAGTATGTTCGATTTTCGATCTTTTTGTGGGGTTATGTTGGTACTCATGACCCTCACTAATGTTGACAATATCGGCCATTTTGAATGTTCAATCAGTTTTTGACAGCTATTGTGCGATTGAGCGTGGACGTGTTTTAGCTTGTCTCCGATTTTTGTCTATTCAAAAAAATGGATCAAAGAATTTGTGTAAAAAACAACTTGAAGTTCGCGGACATATTCCAAGTGTTGACTGTTGCATACGGCGAAGCTACTTTGGACAAAAGCAACGTTTATCGGTGGTACAAAATGTTCTCAGAGGGCCGAGAAAATTTGAGCGACGAAAAGCGTTCCGGACGCCCGAGCACGTCAACAACAGACGAAAACATTGATGAGTTCTTGCCGCAGGGCAGAATGGTCAATAAGGAATATTACCTTCAAGTAATGCGCAATTTGCGAGAATTAATCCACCAGAAACGCCCGGATTTGTGGAAGAACAAAAATTGGCTTTTGCACCATGTTAACGCCCCTGCTCATGCATCGTTACTTGTGCGCGAATTTTTGACCAAAAACAACACACCAATAATGCCTCACCCACCGTATTCCCCAGACCTGACCCCCTGTGACTTTTTCTTAGGACAAGCCGTTGATACTATTAACCTTTCGACATTGGTTAGTAAACTTACCATCTGTGATATCTGAGGCTGTGCTCTAGATTGGTTGAAAAAATACTTATGTAATTGTACCCAAGCAGTGAAGGTTGAAACCGAGTCATTTACCTTAATGTCATCTGGTTTGCTGGTGGACTCCGGCGCTCCCTAAGGCAGTATATTAGATCCGTTACTATTTACACTTTTCATCAAAGATATCGTGGCAATGTGTCCCGTTAACGACACAACGTTTACGCAGATGACACTGCTTTCACTGTTAAGTCATATACTATTACCAATCTCCCTGCTTGAGCCACCAATAAAGCACAGGAAATGTGGTCCTATTGCATTAGTAACTATTTAGTTTTGGATTCCACTAAAACAGCGATGGTTGCCTTCAATACCACAAAACAATACAACAGTTTAGTTAAGTGTAACAAGAAACGGATGTGCCATTACCCGGATTTCAATTATTTAGGCGTATCATCTGATGAGTACGCGAAGTGGAATAAACTGGTAGATAATAACTTGAATAAGCTATCAAAGTACTGTTACGTGATATTGCAGCTACAAAATTTTGTTGACATTGGTATCCTGAATCTCTATTACGTTTTCTCTGTTCATTCAACGCTTAGCTATTGTATTCTTTGCTAGGGGAACTGCTCTTGCATTAACAAAGAATCTGTCATTCAGAAAAAAATATTGAGAACAGTGCCTTTCAAATGTCGACGTTACTCTTGTAAAGATTTGGGATAAAGACTGTTCACTCTTTATACATATATAGACGCCTAGTTTACAGCAAAGAAAATATTGTAGCCTATACATCAGAAGAAAAAAAAATTAAATGCTACTGACTATGCCAGTTACACGGCATAGATATTCCACACCATACTCAGATAGCACATGACGTCTTAGCGACGTCCATGTCAGTCACATCGCAGACATTAGAAAGACGTCCTAAAGATCTCTTCCTTAGACCTGCAAAATACATTTATGGTCACGTGATCGTAATGACGTTTTTAAGACGTTTTACTTCAGATTTTGCTCGAATAGATTCTCGAAATCAGAGATACTCAGATGTATGTCCCAGAAGGTCTTTTCGGAGACCCGTATAACACATCTGCATTTTTGGACTCTAAAATGTCTTTAAGACGTCTTTGAGACGTACCGAGGGGGCTCCAAAAGGCACAAAAATGATGAATTCCTAGTAGCACAAAGAGACGTCATAAGGGCGTCTTTAATGCTTTATGTACTACGAAACTTTCAATGTATCAAACGCTGCGGTTGTTACAGTAATTAATACAAAAAACTCACTTCATTGAATAATCAGAATGTCATCTTGAAACATAAGACATCCATGAGACGTTCCTGGGACGTCTTTTATTCTCCATCGTTACCCGTGAACGGTAAATATGTGAGTAGCTTGACATAGTTGTTCCATGTAGGTATGAAAAACTTATTTCTTCAAACTATTCATACTTCCATGCAACTATATTAAGTTTAAATCTAGGGAATTTTCGGACTGTACTCTGCTGATTTTGTGTGTCACCTGTTGGCGTAAGCGCAAATGCAAACGGACGATAGACGCAGACGCCAATGGACCATTTTGTAATTATTTTTTACAAGCTTCCCTTCGTTAAAGATTAGATTTGTGATCTCAATTAAAAAAATGTGAAACGCAAGTTCGCGTAAATTTATTGTTGATTCGTGACTTGTGACTGCCGCGGTAAGTTAAAAGTAATAAGCTTCGTACACTGTGCCCCCCCTGAAAAAGTATTAAATGCGTGCTAACCGGTTTAATTCTGCTTTATATGAGAAAATTCCTCATGATACAGGATCTGGTACAAAAGGGAACTCTATTCGTACTGGAAATGATACTGATAATACAACAGACCAGCATGAACCTATCCAAAATCAATTATTACAGTTCGATATAAGGGATAATCAGACTTCAAAAAAAATCATACAAACATAACCGGTGACCTTGAACTAAAATCTAGTGCAACTGTCTCGTCATATGCAACTTCCTCAATCTGGAAGAGTTAACATCATGTTATCTGAATGGGCTGTACGGCATCGAATTTTTCATACAGCAGTGAAAGACTTGTTGAGTAGGTATTCTGGAGGCAACTTTTGAAAATAATTCAGATTCTGCAAATGTGTCGTATTGATGATGAGGACACACCCGTAGCTGTCAGAAAATCCCGATCTGTTAAGAAAACAATGATAGCTGTATTTTTCAAATCGAGCGGGATTGTGGAGCGTGTCATTTTGGAAACACAGAATCCAGTCACAGCTAAGTGGTACATGGAACAGTGTCTGCCTAAAGTCACAGAGTCTATGAAAAACCTGCGGCCAAGGTCAAGAATGGACAATTGGTACCTCCACCATGACAACGCTCCAGTTCACCACGCCAAAGCCTGCACCGAGTATTACCGACCACTACTCGACTGAAACTTATTAAGCACAGTCCAGATCTTGCTCCCTGCGACACTGCACTGTTTCGCATGTGAAAATGAAGCTAGAAAGAAAACGGTTTTCTAGCGATGAGGACCTTCTGAGGGTTTGGGACAACGAGTGTGTCGCACTGCCGAGTGAAATTTGGCAGAGCTGGTTTAAGGACTGGTTTTGGCGGAAGGAGAAGTGTATTTGAATATGGCGGAAATTACTTTGAACGAAGTCAGTAAAAAAAGCTGTATTGCACAATACCCTAAACCAAAAGTTTGAAACAAATAGTTTGTAGAGATGTTTTCATAATTAACATATCTAGAATATGTTTCACTTACTTAGAATTTGGAGCAGAAACTTATATTTTTTCAGCTTCATTATGTCAACAATTTTTGTAGGATGGTACATGATTGGAATAGTTCTAGCGCAAACACTGAAGTCAAAGAGTCTTAACTGATTTTATTTTTCTCCTTCAAACTTAATGTGACAAAATTAATCATTTCTGGTGACATAATTGAAACTGCATCAAAACTCAAAAGCAAAAAACAACATAATTTACCTCTAATCTATAGTAACCAGCAACAAACACCATTTGTCAATATCTATTATTTCAGATAGATCATTTTGTATCGATTGTCAGTTGGATTGTCATTACCATTTTTTTTATTTAATCAAAACCCTTATATCAAAGCTACTGCAACTTTTACAATATGATTGATCAAATATGGACCAAAAACCACTGTTTCACTTTTATGTTCAATTCAAACGAATGTAACCATTATTTTCTTATCTTTAAACAAGTCTAGATATAATATTTGGTACTTTTTTCGGCTGCCTATATATTAATAAACTTCTTATTGCAGATGCTGCAGAAAGAGCCAAGGTGGGAGTCATGAGAAGCGAAACGGAAAAATCCATCCAGTTGTGACTGAAGAGAACTTCTAGTTCTCGAAATCCCAATGTTATCTCATCTTTATCGTCGTTTATAAAATGAAACCCTTTTCAGTTTTGCTTGTTTATTACATTCTGTCTTTGTAAAAGTCTGTGAAGGATTATAGTGAACGGCGTTCCTAAGACGCCAAAGAGACTTCTGTATGACGCCTACAAGACGTCTCTAAGATGTTTACGAGACGTCCCTAAGATGCATCCGAGACGTCCATGTTATGTCTTGAACGCCTGTTTGAGAACAAGAATAGACCAAAACGAGACGTTTTAAAGATGTTCTGATTAGTAACGATCGGCCTCTAAAGGATGTCTGAAAGACGTCTTTTGGACCTTTGCAAACATCTTTGAGACGTATTTGTGCTATTTGGGTATATTTCCCCACAGTTATGGCAGTAAGATTTTATATACGCTTACTAAATTCCATAAAGGGTACAACAACTTACATCTTTTG